CTGACACACAGTAGTACCCTGTCTGACACACAGACTCCCACACCAGCTTCTTCTTCCCAGCTGCTGCTTCGTCACATCCCAGCGTCTCCTCTTCACCACACAGGCTTTACATTTATATACAGTACAGCCCCTCCTCCTGATGTCCCGCCTTCCACTCCCCATAGGATGGAACTTTCCCTCCAAACCCATGACAGACAGGTAACATCAGTGCTGTATGTAACAATGGTCTACTCTGGGCGGCTCACAACATACAAGTTACATTATGCATCAAATCACCAATTCTAAGAACAATTCAGTTATAGGGCTTCTTTAATGAACAGCAGCAATGTTCTTACTGTTCCTAAAGTTGTATTTTATTTAGATTTTGGTGAGTAGAAGATCAGGTGCCATTAATAAAATATGGAGAACAGCAAAGTATAATATAAAGTTGTAATGAATAGCAATATTTTTACATAAATCAGTAGACCTCAGAAATTAACAACCTGTTTGTTACTGTAATACGGAATAAAATGCAGTCTTACTTCTAATTATGGTTTTTAATTTCTGTTAATTAAAGTGTAATTTATTTATTATGTAATTTATATTAATATTTAGTATTCCATAGAACGTAGTAAGTTGCTTTTCCTCTTTCATGTGTTTGTTTTACTACTTCATTTATGGAACTGTGGGCTGTTTCCAACATGTGTTGACTCTCACAGTTGTGGCAAATGTAATGTATCCTTGAAAAAGCTTGTAAATATGGTTGACCCATTATGTTGCATTCATAGACTCCAGATGTTCTATGTGTCTTAGCACATGCTGGTTTTGTTGCTGGCACATTTAAAGTACAATCTGCTTATTGGTTTCCTACAGTGAGTTCTGTAAGAAATTAAAGTAGAAAACCAAAAAGACAGCAGTTGAGTAACTTGAGAATCATGTGTTCTTCAGTAAGCATCTGCACATGATGAAATACACTACAGTTATATTCAAGTATAATATGTAATATATTGAATATTATATTTTTATATTCAAATATATATTAGATCTATATTAGCAGTGCTGTTCAAGTTTAATACAATTTTATCTACTTTTGAAAATTGTAGGTGGCTATTCTGCAGATCATCCCGTCATCAAAATCTTTTGGAGAGTTGTAGAAAGCTTCACTGATGATGAAAAACGTAAATTACTCAAGTTTGTAACAAGCTGTTCACGACCTCCACTCTTGGGATTTAAGGTATCTGCCTTTCTGAATTCTGCTTAAGATCCGTATCTTAATTTGGTTTCCTGTGCCTATGAACAGAGTTTTGGTAACTTGAGGGTCCCTTGAAATGAACAGGATCTTGTGCAAGAACACCTTTGTACTGAAGAACCTTTTGTTGAGTTTTCCTTATAAATATAAAAATACTACCACTCTGGTCCAGAGTGGAACTTCTGCATTTTTGTGTTTCCTGTTCCCATTTAATACCCATCTATAAGTACTGTATTGTAAAAGGGGGAGCAATTTTTGGATTAGTTCCATAGAGTTACTAGTAGAAAAACTACTGAATTGAAGTGTTGCATGAACACGGAGTGTGTGTTTTATCTCTTTTAATATTCTTGGAGATGAAAAGTCAGGAATAGAATATGATATTTTGAAAATAATGGCTTTAGTTCACTTTTGTCAGCAGTTTAAAAAAAGGTCTGTGAAGAGGAACTCAGTGAGTTGAGTCCTTTTAAAATGTGTGTTATGCAATATCTAGTTCATGTGTTCTGCACAAAAATTAAATTAATAACTTTAGAATAGTGACCGGTATACAGGGCCAATCATACCATTAGGCACATGTGAACCATGTTTTAGTTTTTGGATTATCATTAAAATGTATCAGATTTGCCAGTGATTTAGCTTATTACAGTACTGTTACCAAGCTGCATGGTAGCAGAGAATTTTATCTGGATTTTCTGCTCCTAGCAGCAACAATACTTGGTCTTGTTCTGCCAGGACACCCATCAGACACATGGTTGATGTTTTACCATCATTCTTTATGAACAGAGCTTTACCCATTAAATAAATGTTTGTAACTTTGGGGTTATTTTTTTAATTATCTAGAATTTATTTAAAAGCAGCTTTAAGCTTGAGCTAATTCACCTTTGCAAAAAGAATGGCACTACTGTAGTTCAGTAAATTACTTAACCCTCTGTATAGTTGATTGGGTGTAGTTCTGTGGTTCTCGCTCACATTCAGTAGTGTGCTTCCATTGTATTCCACAGCCCCCTTCCCCCCGCCCTCTGTGCACCCCAAAAAACATATTATTACATTCAGCTGCATCCTTATGGAGACTGTAACTCTTGGTGAGACCTTATTGCATAGATCATATTATTTGACATGAGGGATTAGAGCAGAAAAGGACTGTTTCCTCCATGTGCGGATAAAAGCCATAGCTGTTACTAACGTTTAACTGCTTTGCTTGACGAATGGCACAAATATAAAGAGTGGTTATTGTTCGCCCACCATACCGAGGGAGATGTACTCTTACCAAGCTGTGTCCTGGCAGTCTAGGAGGAACATTCATAAAACTAATGCAATTCAGTATGTATAATAAATGCTGCTGCAGTACTTTGAAGATGAAGAGCACCATGTACAGTAAGTAGTAATTAGTATTTGCCATGAAATAAGTGGATTCATTTAAGGAAAAAAATATATTGAGGGCAGCAATTAGAGCAAAATGTCTTCTGTAATTAATTGTACCTAGCTGTATTAAAATAGAAGATAATTAAATGTTACTGTTCAGGACATAACTTTCTAATAGCCTGGCTTTGAAATCTTGTCCATACTACATTGCAAAACCTTCACCTTTTGCTAAAGTTAGTTCAGACTCATTTAGAAGGATGCAGTGTGTCTTGAAGTACTTCATTTATATAAATAGCACAGTCAAGAGATATACTATTTTTTTAAAAGAGAATCTTCCCTGCCAGCAGCTTGAGCTCACAATAACATATGCTAAAGCTAATTAAACTTTAATAAGTTTAATAAATGAGATTGTTACAGACAAAAAAAATCATTAAAGTGCAGTTGGAAACTGTTAAGTTGCAATCAGGTCACACGATAAATTGATGATGCTTCCCCCATCCCTGCAATTGCAGATTCCCGTTGCAGAGTATTTAATTATGAAACAAATGGTGCCCTTGACTTGACACTTCAATATAGAACTTCATTTTTAACATTTTTAAAGCTTAAAGTAGGAAAATTCAATTAGCATTTTGAAAGGAACGCTAAAAATACAGCATTTTAGCTATGACATACATTTAAGGCCTCCATTTAAACAATAATTTAACTTAAAATCTCATTAACCTCTTGCCTTGGGGTGTTAGATTTTTGGGGGGCTTTTTTTGCAGTTCCTAAACCCAGGCAATCAATTTTCACTCACCAACACATTTGATGAAATTGGTACACTTTTGCCAAGGAAAGTAGAGCTCTGGCCACGATGCATAAATGGCTTCTGTTACCCTTGTTGGCAGAGCTTTCCATTTCTAAGGCCAAAATACTGTTGGGCATTGGCAAAGCATAAAGTCTGAGAGACACAGTAATGCGTGATCTCCTACTTGCACAACTGTAGCCTTTTTGCAGGCAGAGATCTCTGTGACAAATGGCCAGCTTACACTTACTCCAATTGATACTGAATATTTCTTTGAAGGAGCCACACAGAAGGCAAACTGTTTACGCTTTGGCCATTGTGTGAGTAGCTGGACTCCCAACGAGACCCTCATGTAAGAATCTAACATCACTCTCTGACTGCTAACCTCTGGTGCTCCCCTAGCATCTGGAGACCCCCACAGCAGTCCTTAAGGTTTTCCTTAGAAGAGTCCAATATCACAAGCCTTTTGTATGTGTAGTGTACTGCTGTAAGAGAAAATGGTTTTTTTAAGGTTTCTTTAAAGATATATGTGGATAGGTCCTGTTTGCTCATATAGAGATGCCTCGTTTTTGAACAATAACACAAGAAATGTGATATGTTTCAATCTCCATTGTGCATTTTATTATGCATAGTGTAGTTTTTCAAATTACGTTTTTAAACTGCAAAGTGCTTTGAATACTTTAAATGTGCGTGCACAAGTATAGGCTATTGAGAAGCCATAGTTAGGACTTTTATTTATATGGAATGTCTTTTGCTGCAAAACAATTGATTAAAATGATCATGTAATGTCTGTCTGTCTGTCTTAATTCAGTGGTTGGGAATAACACTGCTTTATAAGCTTGTCCAAGACATTTATGGTAGCCTCACAGAATATTATGTTAAATAGATTATTATCATGCATCACAAATTGCTTTTGAGTTTCAAAATACGCTTATACTATCATTAAACAAAAAACAAACTAACCCCTCCTACCTCTATCTTAAATATTGACCAGAATTTCAAAGAAACAGCATGTTAGGGAACCAGCTGTACTATACTGTTGAATAATGGAGGTATAAAAATTTCCTAATAGAAAAAAGAGTTTCAGTTGTTATTCATGTTTCAGAGTTTCACATTAATTCAAAAATTGATGTCTGGATTGTAGAATTTCTTTACGGATATATTTAAAAGGCTTTGTTTGGAAATGCTATATGATTATTAGTTCTTTTACTTTAACTGTTCTTTGATCTTTATTATTTTTTCCTTCCCAGGAATTGTATCCTGCGTTTTGCATACATAATGGAGGTTCTGATTTAGAGCGACTACCCACTGCCAGTACCTGCATGAATTTACTGAAACTTCCAGAGTTTTATGATGAGAATCTTATGCGGAGTAAGCTTCTTTATGCCATTGAATGTGCTGCTGGATTTGAGTTGAGTTGAAGTGAATTTAAATTTTAATCAGATGCTCTGTTGAAGAATTAATCAGTGCCTACTCCATCTGCAGCACCCCTACAAAGCAGATTAAAGGAATTCCATGTAGGTTTCTGCTACTCATCATACCCATCAAGTACTCTTCAATAAGTTTCAGTTTTGACACAAGATGTTGGTTTGCTGTCATTCATTAGCATTTAACTACATTGACACTATGTTCTTACTCAAATGAATGAATGCTGTGTGCAGTTTCGTAGGCTTTTTGAGAAAGAGCATATTTGGCACAGTGACATCCTAGTGAAAATAACCAAAGATAAAGCTTTGGCTTCATGCTGTTGAAATACAGTTAACTCCACAAGCTGGCAATAAAGCAGCCTGCAAAGCAGCCCGTGGGGAAGTAACAGGGTGATGGCCTTGGAGTGGGAAGCAAATGATTTGCAAGTATCCTGAAATGTCTGGGAACCTAAAGTTTGATTGAGAAAAGTAGTTCATGACTTTGCAAATGGCAGCAAGTGTTTACAGATCTTTCTGCAACTGGATTTTATTGAAACTTGGGGAGATACATTTTTATCACAATGGTAGTAAATGGTCGGTGTTGCAAGAGAAATTTATGTCATTTGTGTTTTCCTTTGGCTTTAAGAAAAGAAAATCTATTCAATAATCTGAATGGGCACATCTGTTCTTCAGAAATGTAACCTTCCTCATAATCATTTGGACATTTTTACAAGTTACGTAACTATTCATATTTTCTTTCTCTGTGCTGTTCAGTTTCCTTCTCTGTCTGTACACTATTTTAATGCATCACACTTCTTTCACGTATGAACACCTTACAATACTTTGGAAAACAAATGCTTGTAACAACTATTAAAATAAATTTGAACCGAAGCATTAGGCTTTATTCTTTTATACTTGGAAGCCTGCAGATGTTCACATGTCCTCTCCACCCTGGAATAACTGCTTGTTATTAAAACTGATCTCTCTCTCATTATTTGTCATGAACAGCCAACTTATGAGTCCATTTGCTCAGTTAGAAGGTCTGCTTCAGGATGGGTGAAGAGCATGTGTTACCTGACTGATTGCCAAGTGAAAGATTAAATTTTGTAAGAAAAATTTGGTGGTTCAAAAATGGTCACAGCACTGGGTTAACATTTGTCTTCACGTGCAATTCTCACGAGATTATTTTTTATAATATAATTAGAACCAAAATCATAAATGGGCAGAATCACGTGCATTGTTTATTGTCAGTTGGAAGAGAACTTTGCAGCTGGAGCCCACTCCATGGGTGGTCTCCTAGTGTGAGAACTATTTTACTGCTGAAGAAGCTCCTGAATTTCATATTTAATTAGCAGTAAACAGCAATATATTTTAAATGTGCAAAACAGCTCTCAGTGGTTTTAAGATGTTTACTAGTGTTAGTAAAAAAATGTATAATTTCTTGATTTGTATAAGAAATGAAGTGTTAAAAGTATTATTTGTAGTCTCCATGTACAGAAATAAAACAATTGTTTTCTTTTTGGTTTTGCTCTAAGCTGTTTTATTTATAGTAACTGTTCCTGTTACAGACCTTTGCCTGTTATGGTTGGCTGACTGCCTTGTGTTTTTGTGTGTGTGTGTGTTTTAATTTATGGAATAATACAGAAGGACTGTAGACAGACACTGTTAAGCACGCTGTTGCCTCTTAAAAGTGAAACCTGAACAGTTTTCTTTAAAGATATTTATTTTACAATTCAAAGTATTAAATATTTTGAAATTATTTTTTCCCACTGGATTCATTTGTTTGGTTAAAATTGTTGTACTTGTAAGCTGTAAAATGTAAATTAAACTTTTCTTATGGAGTCATTAGTATTTCCACTATTTTGTTGGAGTTTCATCACACAACTACAGTAGAGAAAAACTATTTACTCCTAGTGTGCAAGTACAATAGAACAAGGAGAAAGTTGACTTTTATAAAATGATTCAGACAAAAAAAAAACCCAGTGAATTCCTTTAGATGCACCTAGTCAAATTTTTTTACTCCCCCCCCCCATGCATCCTTAATGGCTTGGGGCTCATTTTCAAATTTTGTTTTGTTTCACAGGTAAGTTGCAGTAAATGTGAGGATCTTCTCTAAGAAAAACAAGAACAAAATTGAACATAGGCTGAAATCCAGTTGGTAGTCCCACCTAGGTCCATTGAATCAGTGGATATGGATAAGTGTTGATTCAGCAGTTGATTCAGTGAGTCTGGTCTCATTGGGATTAGCAGTTCGATTTAACTCATAATTCTTTGGATTTGTTTGGTACCTACTAATAACGGCTTTGGAATCCTTTAGGAATCAAATCATTGTTTTACGTGTTTTACCCACTGTGTAAAATGTACGAATCTATTTTAGCGTTGTGTGTATGGTATACTCCACATTCTATAAAATCATTAGCGGTTGACTTGACAGTATCATGGTAAAGCTATCCCATGTTAGATGGACAAAGAAATCAGAATGTCGCTAAAGCTGCAATGCTTGGTGGATGTAAACTGCACGGAACTCAGAATTTACTTTTCCCATTGTATTATGGTAATAAGATGCAGTGAGTCAGGTACATGGCTCTGGAGCCAAAGGTTGGGGGTTCAGTTTCCCATTGTGCTTCCTGGAAGAAGAGTCAACCTGTTTAGCCTTGGGCAAACTGCACATCCCTGGAAGAAGAGAATGGTCAACTTTTGTTGTTGATTAGTTGTTAAGTTGTGTCTGACTCTTCGTGACCCCATGGAACAGAGCACGTCAGGCCCGCCTGTCTTCCACTGCCTCCTGGAGTTGGGTCAAATTCATGTTGGTCGCTTCAGTGACACTGTCCAACCATTTCGTCCTCTGTCGTCCCCTTCTCTTCTTGCCCTCTCACTTTCCCAACATCAGGATCTTTTCCAGGGAGTCTTCTCTTCTCATGAGATGGCTCAAGTAATGGAGCTTCAGCTTCAGGATCTGTCCTTCCAGTGAGCACTCAGGGTTGATTTCCTTCAAAATGGATAGGTTTGTTCTCCTTGCAGTCCAGGGGACTCTCAAGATCCTCCTCCAGCACCACAATTCAAAAAGCATCGGTAGTCAGCTTTCTTTATGGTCCAGCTCTCACTTCCATACGTCACTACAGGAAAAACCATAGCTTTGACTATGCGGACTTTTGTTGGCAAGGTGATGTCTCTGCTTTTAAAGATGCTGTAAAGGTTTGTCATCGCTTTCCTCCCAAGAAGCAAGCGTCTTTTAATGTCGGGGCTGCTGTCACCCTCTGCAGTGATCATGGAGCCCAAGAAAGTCAAATCTGTCACTGCCTCCATATCTTCCCCTTCTATTTGCCAGGAGGTGATGGGACCA